CGTACTTTAGGCTCATCCTTTTGCTAACAGTCATCCATTACCGTTAATATTTATTTAATTTCTCACACTAACCCCTATGGAGATGCAAAAATCAATACTTGTTAGTGGGTTTGATTTTACATTATGAATATTTCCCTTTTGTTCTTTACAAAATTCACCTTATGAAAGTAGATCAATAAGTCTTTCACCTGACAGCTGAATTTTGATTTCAAATGTCCAAAATAGAATGTACAATCTAGGTGATTAATATTCACCAATCAAAGAAACATACTGCAAAAGGGAAGATATGTTGAAAAATATTTGCTGTATATAATATGTGCTTTAATATTATTATTAAAAGATGGAATTATTTACATATATCCATAATACAACAATCGACTTGATTTCTTTTTGCAGTCCAAACTTTTTATCTTCATGCTGCAAACTGGCTTTCAAGACAAAAAGAAAAAAAAATTGTAAAGCTGTGTTCATTTCCGATCGCTTATATATTCCATTGGTAAGGAGGAAGTCCCACTCAAACAGCTTCTTCCACAGAATTGTTACTTTGTGGAACAAATAAGGTTGCTTCCCTAATCACTCTGAGCTTAAAATAATCAAGTCTAGGTTCAGCCATTATTTATCCTACAAATCCTCATCATATGCACTTCTTAATTCCCCGTTTATATACTTAAAATAATCTTATTCATTAACCCTCTACCTTGAGTGGCTCTTGCGTCTTATATTGCATGAAGAATAGTATAGAAAGACTCAATTTGAAAGAATGAAGGTAAGAGTGTGTTGTACTAATTTTCCAAATCAGGAGTCGGTGGTCTGCCTACCTTCAAGATTTGACATTTAGATTTCTGTGTCACTCTTTCTATTATTTGCTTGATTTTGGCATCACCAATATGTAACTCACAATTTGGGTTGTATCTTTTGCTAAAAACCATGCATTCTGTCTTCCTACTGTTAATAGTTAGTCCTTTCTTCTTACTTTCCTCAATTAATAGTTCTTTTTTATATGACCACTTAAATAACTGAACAGGTGATATTGAAGGATCACTTGAGGGTGTAAGAATTTTAATTACTTACATATTAAGAAATAAGTTCTGGAAGATATGTTGTCCATTCAGGTGAGAGAATAGGAATCTTTGAAAACCTGAAAATCTGGTTTCAACCAGATACAAGGAACTAAATGAAGAATAGAGATTCAGAGTGGGTCACATTAATAGAAGTTTTAGTAACATCAGCAAACATGAGCATCCTAAAGGAAACTAGGCAAGGGAAAAAGAATGGATGATGGAGTAAATTCTCAACATGACAAAAAGACAGCAAACAATACCAAGTGTATAGTACAGAATATGGGAGTTTACACAACTAAATCAGAAACAAATGCAGGCAGGCAAAAGAGGAATGAATCAATGAAAAGTGTTCAGAAATAGAAAGATTAAGCATCACAAATAAGGCAAATATGTATAAAAGAATAAGAAAAATAACAAGACAAAAGATGTGCTCATTGATAAAGTGCATAAAATCAAAAGAGAGAACACTAACAATAGAGGAAGAAAAAATAGATCAGAGAATTTGATGAAAGAGGAAAACTTACATAAAAAAATATGGAGGACCAGTAATATTAAAGTCTGAAGTAAAATTAGCACTGGACAAAGCAGCAGGACCAGATAGAATTGTAATAGAGATGAGGGCAGCTTTAGATGATTTCAACATTGACAAAAGTACAGACATAATAAATAAAATTTACTACATTAGTGGTAGAATGGAAGATTAAGTAGTGCTGCCTAAAAAGCCAGGTGCAAATGAATGCAAACTTCATTGTAAAATCAGCTTAATGAGCGCATAACAAAATGTATCATCTGAATTCTGATGAACAGAGTATGTAGTAGATTTAGTCCAGAAATAGGACATGAAGAGTGTGGTATTATTAAATACACTGGAACAAGGAATGTAATTTTTATGCTCAGAAAGACATCGAAAAGACCAATACAAATGCAGAAAGACATATACCTCTGTTTTATAGATTAAATGTTTGATAAATATGCCACATGAGGAAAGAAGGCTTTGAAAATTTGTTATTCACAGGACATATAGAAGGCAAGCGGGAGATAGGAAAGCATTGTACTAATGAGCTTGTGTAAATGATTGACAGAACAAAGATTAGGAGAGATACCAAAAAGACAAAATTCACTTAGAGCAACAAGGGACAGGCAATATAAGCAATTCTTAATAATTTAGAGTTTGGTTCTCAATTTACTTTTTAAATCATTTTGCCCCAAGCAAGGAGATAATGTCACTAGAATGTAGGGTTGTTACAGGGAGTGAGAGAGAATGAGAAGAGAGAGAATGGGGAGGGTTGAGAAAATGACAAAAAAAGGAACAGGGTTCAAGAAGACAGAAGATGGTGATTGATGTTGTATTTAAGTTTTTGGAGATTGTAGTTATCAGGGAAGCAAGAAATCAGAAGGGAGTTCTACAGGTGAAAAGTGTGCAAAAAGAAACTGTTAGAGTAGAAGTGGCAGTTTCATCTAGCTAGTTCAACAGTAAAACGGTGAGACCTACTTTCCAATTTAGTAGTATGTTTAAATTCATGTCGTCTTTTGGTCTATAGTGTGCACATGATATTCATATGTATTTTTTTTTTAATCATTTCACCCCCAAGAAAAGTAATAAAGCTACTAAGATGCAAGGGGGTTACTGAGTGTGAGTGGATATGAGAAAAAGAAAAACATTATTAATATTGTCCTCATCTTTGTCGCCATATTTATTACTGTAGAATAACAATAATAAACAGCACTTATCGGCGTAAAGGTCCCAGCTAGCGTCCAGCTGGCAGACAAAAATAAAGCAGGTTGTAACTTAATACAAATCCTGCAAACTAACTGATGAATCAAGCTGGTATTTATATAGAAATACCTCCACTCAGGTACCAGCAGCCAATCACAGCCCAAGCAATGGACTATCCCACTTTAGCACAATGAGATGCTCCATGGCAACATAAATAGCTCTCTTTCTAAAGGTTGGATTATTATTCACTTAGCTTGCTCCACAACTGAGTGGTTATCTCTACCACGTGATTTTTCTACAATTACAACGTTTTGGTCGTTATATGCTCTGGCCTTCTTCAGGTGGTCGAAATGTTGAACTGTACCCTTTATTTCGCTCACTGGCATAGAACGTTCTAGTTCTACGTGCCATGTTTAATGGATGTCAGTTATCCGTTATCTCCTGTTAATTCCCCTCTGAAAGTTCTCTGCCTTAACCGGGTATTGAACTCACACTCTTTGGGGCCTGTCACTGGATCTAACCAATGCCTTTATCCACTGTGCCATGTGTCTTTGAAATAAAGGGTTCAGTTTGACATTCCAACCACCTGAAGAAGGCCGGAGTATACAACAGCCGAAACGTTGTAATAAATATGGTGACAAAGATGAGGACAATAGTCTGAATAATGTAAATAATGTACATAATACCTCATCTCAGAAATATAGACAGACCCAAAAAAGAAGCTATTGAACTATATTTCAATGTGCTTGGTTTACTACAGAAATATAAGAAAAGGTTATATGTTTGATGGATGTCAGTTAAATTCCCTCTGAAAGTTCTCTACTGCCTTAACCGGGTATTGAACTCACACTCTTTGGGTCCTGTCATTGGATCTAACTAACGCCTTCATCCACTGTGCCATGTGTCCTTGAGGTTGTCCTTTTTGGTATTCGTTAGTTTTTTCCAGAAAGTGATTGAGTAATATTTGGTTTTGATACTAAGAACTGAACTTGGGATTTCTTACTCTTTACAAAATTTTGTTAACTATTACATCCAGTACTTTACAGTTTGGAATAAATTGAAATAGTGCCATTGCATGAAATTGCATTTCCAGGTGAAAGATCCTTTTCTCCATGGTTGACAGAACTTCTGGTTCCCATAATAGTGAATTGGTCTGGTTCTGCTTCTGGTAATTCCTTTCTCCTTTTAATGCTTTCTTTTGACCACATCTCTCAGTTTTCCATTTGGTTTCAGTACATACTTAACTTGTAATGTTATGCATGACAGTCTCCTTAGATGTTATTATAACACCAATCATATGACTTTTCATATTCAACATCTGTGTGTTATCACACATGATAGGGTAGCCATATTGAATATTCAATATAACTGACATGGTTCTATATATTTCAACCATTTCTGCACAAATTTCTACTGATTGAATTGCATAAACATTATGATTTTCTTAGATTACATCATGCATATTTTCATAATGTGTCTAAGGAGTCATACTTAATGAAAAAATCAGACAATATATAACCATTCCTCTTGATTGATTTTTTATGGTTTATCAACCCTTTGCAAGTTATTTGAAGCCAGAAAATATTTTTAGAATGTAAGAATTTTTTTTAAGATAATAATGATTTAGTCACACAAATCATGCTAACTAAACCATTGCTGCGGGGAGAAGAGGTGGATTCATACCTTTCACAAGGATATTTGCACGTAAGTGAATATAAGAAACTGAACGGGAACTTATCCATTACACCACTTGCACATGCAAGCTTACAGTATGTGGTAGCTCCAAACAGTCACCCATCTAGGTATTAACCAAGCTTAATGTTGCTTAATTCAGTGATTATACAGGAACTGGTGTTTCAAAATGATATGACTGTACACCCCATTTCTCTTTAAACAGTAGAAATAGCAATAGAGTAGTGAAAGGCTTGTGATGCTGTGTTTGTGGTTTTTGATTGATTGCTTGATTTGTTTTTATGGCTTAACCTTTTACAGGTTATTTAAAGCCAGAAAAGATTTTTAGATTCTAAAAATTTTTGGAGGATAAAAATGATTTACCAATACAAGTCCTTCTAATTAACCCATAGATGAGGGGAGATAGATTCATACCTTTCTCACAGGTGTTTGCACATAAGTAAATATAACAAACCTGACAGGAATTGGAACTTAGCTCTCAAATTTCCAATTCTGAGTCATTATTCATTACACCACCCACACATACAAGCTTACAGGACTTGGTATTCTCAAGTGGTCACCCATCTAGGTACTGGTCAAACTCGACATTGCTTAACTTCGGTGATCTTACAAGAGTCTGTGTTTCAATATGACATGACTGTCAGCTTGGTGTCTGTGGGAAAGAGGCTTTTCCTGCAAGACCACATAAAAATTTATTGTAAAAAAATAGCCAAGGATTACTTCCAAAAAATAGACCATCTCTGAGCAGTTATGCTTCAGGCTGTTAGCAACTAACTCTGCCAGCATATGGCTTACAGTGCATGAAAAGTATCGCTTCTTAAGAAATCACATGTGGTGGCACATGTGAATTTTGGTAAAGAACCAATTACCTACCAGAATAATATTCTTTAGCACGATGTGAACAAGACAGAGTTATCTGGCTTCTCTTCACTTTGTCAGCTTTGGAGAAGAAGACCAACAATTTCAAATTAGTATATATCAGGCTTAAAACTGACATAATGTCAACAAAGTCATCTATATTCCTTCATTCTCTATCAGAATATGTTTAACCAATGATCCATCCTGATCATTCTTTGAGCTTAAAATCATGGCTCAAACCAGTTAGTTCTTTCAAACATGGATCAATGTTTCCTCTTTCATTGCTCATTACCTCTCTTTTTATGTTGAATCAAAAATTATTTATAAAAAGCAAGATAGAATTTTTTTAATCATTTCTACCCAAACAAGGTAGTAAAGCCATTATGATAAAAGTGAGAGTGAAAGCATAAAGAAAAAGAGAGATATTATTTAGGAGCGAGAACAATAAAAGAAGAGGAATCAAGAAGACAGTAGATAATGATTGATATTGGATATAAATTTTTGAAGATCAAATTTGTGCTGGAAAGCATGGAGCTGGCACAAATGAGAAGTATGAGTGATGAAACTGTTAACATAAAAATTACATTTGCATCTAGCCAATTTAACTGTAAAGTGATGAGACCTTATTGCCAATCTAGTACTGCATTTAAATTCATAAAGTCAAGGTACCATAGGAGAGAGTTCATCAGAACAATTACTATGAAAGTATTTATAGAAAAGGCAGAAGAAAGTTATGTTATGTCAGTGGGAAAGTAACTGAAGCTGAGTTGCCAGGTCAGAATCCAAAAACATTGCAGAAGGCTGTGTTGTATAGTGCTGTGTTTATTTTAAACATACAGAATCATGAGATAAAAAGAAATGACTGACATTATTGAAATATAAAACTCAAAATTTGAACTTGAAAGGAAAATATACATTTTTATTTCTCTCTTATATATACATATAGATATATATATATTCACTCTTTTTATATATATATATATATATATATATATATATATATATATATCTTTTATATATATATATATACTTTATATATATATATATATATATACTTTTTTATATATATATATATATATATATATATACTTTTTTATATATATATATACTTTTATATATATATATATATATATCTTTTATATATATATATATATACTCTTTTATTTATATATATATATATATATATACTTTTTTATATATATATATATATACTTTTATATATATATATATATATATATATATATACTTTTTATATATATATATATATATATATATATTTTTTATATATATATATATATATATATATTCTTTTATATATATATATATATATATATACTCTTTTATATATATATATATATATATATATATATACTTTTATATATATATATATATATATATATATATATATATATATATATATATATATATTTTATATATATATATATATATATATATATATATATTAGGATTAATATGAGTAAAAGTTTCATTTAGCTGAGTGATGTTACCTTCAGCATCCCGACTCCTTAGTTTTGTAGGTTGACCTGTCTCTCCACTCTTTAATCTATATATGAGGAGGGAGAGAGATGTATAATAGGCCAGTGAAAGAATTTTGTGATAAAAAACAATAAAACTAATGATAATAAAATAATATTTATTTTGCAGTATTATGCCTTTAGACCAAATACAAGTATTATCATTATTATATTATTATTTTTATTGTCATTATTATTGTTGTTTTTATCTTTGAATTTCTTCTATTCAATTTCTTTCATTACTATATCTACAAAAGAAACATACATGAACATCCTTTTCTTTACTGCTATGTGCATATATATATATATATATATATATATATATATATATATATAGAGAGAGAGAGAGAGAGAGAGAGATAGGCACGTGGCCAAGTGGTTAGAATGTTCACTTTCTGACCATGAGACCCAGATTCAAATCTCCCCATGGTTGATTTGTCAGAAAGGAAACTCCCTGATGTTATTGGTCTGGAGTGGAGATGATTCCAGCATTTGACACCTTTGGGAAGTGCCTGAAAACCATTCCACAGGTTGACCCAAGCCTTGTGAGTCAAATTATGTACATGAAACACTTGGGGCATTTGATAGCTGTGACTAGTGTTGTTCATATTGTTGATCATTCTAGATAACACGCTCTCTCCCAGAAACTGTAACTAAGGTCGGCTCAGCATAGTTGCAGTATGAACCACTGGTTGGCTCTGTGGGTGTTGAACAAAGACAAATGTGCCTGAGCAATGATCTGCAATAGGGATTGGCTAGCCACTCTAGTAGACTGGTATCCTCAAATACAAGTGGCCAGCTATTATATATATATATATCTATATATCTATATATATATATATATATATATATATAGTGTGACTATTGTTTTAGGGATCTTTTTCTTTGCATACCACAGGGGATCTTCACTTAATCAGTAGAAGAATTATTAGAGTCATGTGCAAAGATATTAAAGGCCAGAAAACGAATTCCCAAAACGAGCCTCAATATAAACTACCAAAGCCAAACGGAAATAATATTGGAAAAATTAGCAAATGCATTCTGAAAAGAGCATGCAAATATACGAGAAATGCTTCAGGAATTAATCAGTGGCAGAGTACAAAAGAAGCTATAAACTGATCTAAATAAATAGAAAAGAAGAATGAGTGTACGTTCATCCAATTTGACATTTTTACCTGTCCATTACCGAAGATATACTGATGAACGTCATCGATTTAGCTGAAAAAATATTGTAACAATAGCAATAAAGAAATTAAAATAATAAGTTAGTCAGATATGCATGATACACACTTAGATGATCATGTATCTTTTGGTACATGACTGACAAAGTAAATTTTCACCCACAGTAGGTTGCCATTTCTTTCTGCAGTAAACTAGTTGCCATCCAAGACTATAAAATCTTGTCTGTCCTGTTATTTACCCATAGCTGGGGAGAGAAGAAAAGGATTCATACCTTTCCCAAGGGTATTAGCATGTAAGTGAATGTAATGGATTCGACTGGAATTTGAAATCGTCTCTATGATTCCTCAATCCAAGCCACTATCCATTACTCCACCATGCTTCCTAAAATGATAAGGCAGGTGCAAAAATTCATGTTGTATCATAATGGATGTCTGTGGACAAAATGAAACAAGAATTCAAAATTGTCATGGGGGCATATGATTCAGCAGAAGCATGTGTGATATTAGGGATATTCTTATTGTGATGACTGAGATATTTGTTTGATATCAATAACACAGGACTTTATAAGAGATGATGGTGTAATCTTACTACATAAAATAGATCCAAGAAACATAGACTGATCAAGGAAAGTTCATGACCTAAAAATCACTACAACAACAAAATGCAAAAGGGATCAACTTTTTTGACATGACTTGGTATTTAAATACTGGTAGATATAAACTGTATATATAAAAGTTTTTACACAACCAGAGATAGGTAAATAGTGAATCAAATCATCCCTATTATACTTAAGAATTTACATAAATCAATGCAATGTAGATTAACAACTAATTCCAGCAATAACAAAGCTGAAGCAAAACATGTAAAAGCCCCAGAAGAAAGTAAATACAAAGTAAATATAGAATACATGGACAATAATCTTAGAAGGTGAAAATAAAAAAAAAGATACAAGATGCGATATGTTATGGTTTAAACCCCACCCCTTATAGCTGTAATGTAAAAACTAATTATTTACATTATTCAGACTATTGTCCTCATCTTTGTCACCATATTTATCACAATGTTTCAGCCGTTGTACGCTCCAGCCTTCTTCAGGTGGTTGGTATGTCAAACTGAACCCTTTATTTCGCTCACCGGGGTAGACTGTTCTAGTTCCCCGTGCCATGTTTGATGGATGTCAGCTATCAGTTATCTCCTGTTAATTTTCCCTCTGAAAGTTCTCCACTGCCTTAACCGGGTACTGAACTCACACTCTTTGAGTCTTGTCACTGGATCTAACCAATGCCTTTATCCACTGTGCCATGTGTCCTTGAGGAAACGTTGTGATAAATATGGTGACAAAGATGAGGACAATAGTCCAAATAATGTAAATAATGTACATAATACCTCATCTCAGAAATATAGACAGACTGTAAAAACTAATGTTGGTAGAATCTTTCTCAAGTTAATAGATAAACATTTAAAAAATTCAGTAGCATTAAAAAAGATTTTTAACAAAAATATGTTTCTTGTATGTAATTTACAGTTTAGATATATACTTTGTATATATTTGAAATTATATATTCACTTGCATATCTACATGCATATGTTTTATGTATGTATATATGGGTATATATAGATGTGTGTGGGAGGCATGTGTGTATTTGGAGTCTTTCTTTGCACTGTGATCCCATATAAGATTTTGTCACTAAAATTTGTCTTACTTGTTACATGCTGATCTATATGTGTGTGAATTGCACTAAATTTTGACAAATGACAAGTTAACTTATGAGAGAGTATGGTACACGTGTGGCCAATGCAAGAATTTAATTTTGTGTGTTGGTTGTTAGTGTTGGAGGTACAATCTCCCAAAGGACATAAGAATTAATCAACAACATTATTTGTTAGATGCATGTTAAAGTAATATGTTCTCTTTTTCTTTTCAATAACAATTTAATTTTATCCTCACAAAGTTATCACATTATATTATTTAAGAGATATATCTAAATGATGTTCCTATCCTTGCTCTTAATAAAATTTTGTCTTTTTCTTATCGCTCCTAAAACTTGTTTCACCATGCATTTGCTCAAGCTCACTAGGTAGGTTATGCATTGTTTTCCTCTTTCTCCCTTTTGCCTTCAATTTATCCTATGAGTATCAAATTTTCTAAGCCCTCTTTCCTCCTTATGTGCCCTGGAATTTTCAACTCTTTCTTTTAGATGTTAATTATAAGTGTTATGGTCCAATATCCTCGCACCACAGTTATGGTCCAAGGTTAGAACCAAGGAAGAACAACACGAACACAAGAATAGAATAACAAAGATATATTACAACAGAAATATAGTACAAGAAGTTAAAGGTGTTAGTAATGACTGTCCGTCTGGTTTAGAGTGAACTAATATTGTCTCGACTTGTTACACCATTCATTCATTATACCTTTTGAGAGGCGCAGTATTTATAGTGTCAGGAAGAGTCCATTATTGTTATAGGTAAGTTTCCATAACAATAAGTTTCATTTTTGTTTCCATTTTCTTTAAACTTTTACTCATATGTTCATTCGGTCCAAACTATTCTCAGCATCCTTCCTTTAGAACCACATTTCTCTTTCTTCAAGTCTCTTCTTCGTCTTTGAGGAGATTGTCTTGTATTCATAGCCTCAGAAATTCTGAACCCCACATAAACAAACTAGAATTTTTATACACTTACATACATTAAGCAATATTTACAGTTTTTCAGGTAGGCAATAATTTCTTGAAACTTCATCTCTCCTTGAATTTGGAACAGCACAAATTATACTAATGTTTGTTTAACAAGTTGAATGCATGTGAAACATGATTACCCAATGTAAATCAAACAAAGCAAAAGCAAAAATACCAAAATTTCTTTCTTCCTTTTCCTTCATCTCATTCACTGATGAAGCTTTAATAAAAGTGAAACATGTTAAATCGATGTTTCCTATTTGTTCTTTATCTTATCATCTATATATATATATATATATATATATATATATATATATATATGAAGAAATATACTCGTAAGGTGTGCTATATTTAAGGGATAAAGTGTTCAATATCAGGGATAGAGCATGTGTAAATATAAAAGTGAATATAAAAGTCAACACTTAGGGTGACAGGCTGTTTCATGCTAGACATAATTGTCAGACCATGATTGTGTCTAGCATGAAACAGCCTGTCGCCTCTGAGTTGACTAATGTTCACTTTTTATATATATATATATATATATATATATACCCAAGTATGTGATTGGTGTATACGGAATAAATTCCAATAACCAACAATTACTATTCTTAAAAGAGTGCTCAATACAGAGTAGAGCGAATATAATTATTTATTAAAAAATTATAACATATGTTATAAAATCACTATAAAAATAGCCATTTTGTTTCAACACCTCTGGTGTCTCTATCAAGTAATGATGTTGAATGTAGATTGTAGAATAAAGGTTTTAAAAGGTTCAAATTAATTAACCACCCCTTGTAAGGGAAACATTGCTACATGAGCTGGAGGACCAATCAAAATACAAGTATACTTAGAATTCAAAAACTTGACAAGTAAGGTTATAAGTAAGGTTATAATAATATATATAAAATATTTTAATATATATATATATATATATATATATATATATATATATATATATATATATATATATATAGGTGTGTGTGATGTGATAGATATATATATATATATATATAGGTGTGTGTGTGATATATATATATAGGTGTGTGATGTGTGATAGATATATATATATATATATATATAGGTGTGTGTGTGATATATATATATATATATATATATATATATATATATATAGGTGTGATGTGTGTGATAGATATATATATATATATATATAGGTGTGTGTGTATATATATATATATATATATATATATATATATATATATAGGTGATGTGTGTGATAGATATATATATATATATATATATAGGTGTGTGTGATGATATATATATATATATATATATATATATATATATATATATATATATATATATATTTAAGATTCAAGAAACAGCAGACATTTTTATATCTAGTGCTCAATATTAAAAATATTAAAATAATATTAAAAATATAGCATTAATGATATTATATGAAAAGATTGCTTAACTTTTAAACATCAATTTTATCCAGACATGATGTTTCTTGGAAAAAAAATTTCCAGTCTTCAGGGGTTGTAGTTTTAAACGGTATTTCCAATATATATATTCACTGGTATGCCTGATGCATGATAATCATTCTTTTTTTTTAAATATTGAAAATCTTAATGCTGGAAAAATATCTACTCTTATATTGATCAATTGTGAGGAAAATATAGCTTCAAAATGAATTTTTGTTAATGTTTCCATATTGAGTACATATTCATTGATTCAAAAGTGTAATTCAATACCATCAGGATGTCAGTTTTTTTAGGTTGTTTTTTTTTTTTTTTTTTTTTTCAAATATGCGCATTTATTTTCAAATAGAGAAAATAATATTTTGCACATTTTTTATCACAAGTATTACAGCAACTCGTTTACTGTTGCTTCGAATTTTATACTTAATTCTGTATAAAATATTTTTTTCACTTTGTTTTTTTGGTTTTTGTTCCAGGGCCAACTGGTCTATGCCAATTATGGAGAAAAGTCTGACTTTGAAGCATTGATCAAAAATGGTCTTATAAATAACAGTATTGTGATCATGAGATATGGGAAAGTGCATCCTGGGAGTAAAGTAAGTATCTATTTTTTTGTTTGCTATTTTACTTGAAGCCTTTGGTGGACTACTTTGAAGCAACCTCTTTAAGTAGCATGTCCCTTTAGGTCAAATTCAATCATAGCTCTCCACAGCTTCTTTTTCTTTTAATATCTGTAAACAGTGCATAATCATGATTGATTTTAGGAAAGATAGCAGAGTAGTTTTTCATGCCATGTTTCTTCACAACTTTGGCGACTATGGCACTCCACAACTTCTTTTTCATTAATATCTGTAAACTATGCATGACCATGATTGATCTTGGGAGAGTAGAGCATTTTCCTGTTGTATTTTTCTATGCTATGTTCCTTTAGAACATAGGTGGTTATGACTCTCCACAACTTCTTTTTCATTAATATCTGTAAACTATGCATAACCATTATTGATCTTGGGAGAGTAGAGCATTTTCTTGTTGTATTTTTCCATGACATGTTCCTTTAGAATATAGGTGGTTATGACTCTCCACAGCTTCTTTTTCTATTAATATCTTTAAACTGTAATTTGTCATGACTGTTCTTGAGTAAGTGAATATGTGAGTGGTGTAATGGATAGAAGCTCAGAATGAATTCCAGCTGGGGTTGTTACATTCACTGACATGCAAATGCCATAGGGAAAGATATGAATCCATCTCCCCTCTCCAGCCATGGGTTAAATAGTAGGACTTGTATCTGGAAGAATCATTGTTATTCCCAAAACACTGTTAATGCAATATTCTTTTTTTAATCATTTCACTTCAAGCAAGGCAATAAATCCACTAAGACATAAGGATTTCTGAGTGTTAGAGAATATGAGAAAAAAACACTCTTAAGGAAGGAGAACAATAAAAGAACAGGAATTAAAAAGACAGAAGATAATGACTGACATTGCATTTAAAAACACTTACAAAAAAAAGAATTATTCTTTCAATCCAAAATTTGTTTTGGCTTTAAATAACGCACAAAGGGTTGATAAGCCATAAAAACAAATCAATGAATTAATCAGTGTGGGTAAGATAGTTGTTATAGTGGAACACACCTATTCTATAGTTAATAGACTCTCCCACCTATAATAAGTAGGAGTAGTAAGAGTAACGAGGGGTCGCTCAGTAGGTCAGTCAGTTGATGCCGGATGATCGTTAGTCGGATACTAAAGTATCAGCGACCACAACTAGATTACTCTGCATCATTACCTATTATATCAAGTTCCTAACGTTTTGTATGTCGAACCTATTTTAGGACCGACTTAGTACAAATACAAGCCTCCACTGTGAAACCACTCCATAACAATAGTAAAGTAGCTTTCCATTGCTTTCTACTTGATTTTGCATTCAGATTTGTCCTTCTTCTGGACTGGCTGCCACTCAAGGCTCACTGATACTTAACCAACAGGAGGAGGGAAAGAAATGAATTCATGCCATTTTGAATATAGCCAGAACAAAGTAAATGCATACTTTTTCAACTTGGTTGCTGGTCCCATTTTTCCTACATTTCTGGATTTTAAGAATACAACATTAAGTAATCACTTATTTTCTAATTCTATATTTAAAGCAGCAAAAGAGAAAAAGTTGGGAAGAACCATTCCAAAAGAATTTGGCACATAAAAAAAAAGAATTCTGTTATCTTTTGGCTTTAGTTTGCTTTTCATGTCACATTTGTATTTTGAACTGGTAGCCATTTTCAAAAAGTCTACAATCAATCCTCCTATACAGCAGTGAATGATGCCTAATGACCTCATAGATGAATAAGAGACTTGAAGCAATAGAAATGTGGTTCTATAGAAGAATACTGAGAATACCATTGATGAAGCATGTAAGCAATGAGGAAGTTTTAAGGAAAATGAAAACCAGAAGATTATACTTAGAATCAGAAAGAGAAAGCAGAAATTTCTAAGATACATAATGAGGAAGGAAGGCTTGGAAAATTTAACACTAAAGGCAAAATGGACATGGTGCCATCTACCTGATAAATTTATAAGAATGAGTAGCATGGTGAGTGGGAGAGATGGTAAAAAACAAAGCTTACTAAAACTTACAAAGGATAAGAAGTTGTTGAGAGTTATGATTGCATAAATTCTAAAGAGACATGGCACATACAAGATCCCAACAATTGCTTCCTATGTAACTGACTTCTAGGATATCTTTATAGATTTTTGTGAAATACATCTGTTTGATGCTTTGGCATGCAACATCAGTGATGTTTTTAGCCGTGGTTCATTAGAGCTTGAAGGTCTTTCAATATTATACCCCTTACCTATGGTGACCCAAAAACTGACTCCTTAAAAAAAAAAAAAATGAATGAAGACATTTGAAAAATAGAATGAATAAAGAAAAGAAAACAAAAGGAAGGGAAAGTAAACAAACATGATATAGAAAATTAGAAGGATTTTGTTTTGTTTTACGGCATATCAACCTCAATGGGTTATTTAATGCCGATAAGATTTTTATTGCTGGTAATATTTTTGTTCAAAAATACATTGTTGGTAACATTTTTCCAAAAATGTATTGCTGGTAATAATGTATTGCTGATGTTAAAACCTATTTTTACACATTTTGACCCCAGTTTGGGGGTTAACTATTTGCTCATAACTGGGACCCTAACAGGTGCTACCACCCCAGATCAGGTGAACCTGAGAACACCAGCAAATAAGAACAATTATGCTCCTCAAAACCTCCTGATCAGAAGCCTTACTGTTGGATGTAATTTATCATCTTATCCAGGACACCCCATTGGGGATTTTTACACCTCTGCAGAGGTGCAGTTGGCATATTTTACATCCCCAGCTGACAGGGCAGAAAATTAGAAGGAAGTAAAATATCAAAAATAGAAACAAAATTAAGAGCAGACAAAAAAATTAACTTGTAAAAAAAAATTAACAAATGAGATTGAGTGAGTTTTTTTTATTTTTTACAGCTTATGTCTTTGTAGGTTATTTATAAACAAAATATATTTTGGATTGTAACAATAATTTTTATTTTGAAAATGAACATTGTATTAAGAATTTTCTCTAGATAACAATCATTTTTCCAGATACAAGTGCTATTATTTAACCCATAGCTGGGAAATGATGAGATCGATTCGTAACTTCTCCAACAGTATTTGTGCATAAGGGAATGTAAGAAACTTGACTGGAATTCAAACTCAGCTCTTAATTGAAGGAGAACAGAAATAAAAACATAACAAAAAAAAAATGGATAAATAAAGAAAAAAAATATAGGCAAGGGAAAGTAAAAAAAGAAAGTAACAGAAAGAAAAGATAAAATAAAATAAAAAATAGATAGCTGTACAGAAAACCCAATTAGACTGAAGAGAAATAGCTAAGAAAGCAGAAAACATTTGTCCTACTGTCGATAAAAAGAAGAAAAGCACTTTTTACATTCTCTTCTTTATAAGAAATAAAAGAAAAAAAAAACAGTATCATTTAACACCTTGCACTGGTTATACGGAAACATTAGTCTCAAAGTGGTTGTATTAATGGCAGTCTTCTGAATTAGATTGCTACAATTCTTTGTCGTTATAAAATTACATGTGGATAAGTGATATCCAGGTGGCAGATTGGAATTATGGTAAGCACATTACTCTTGCTATGGTGCTTGTCGGCACTATATCCAGAAGCTGCTGTCTCTTTGATTAAATCACCTGTTGATAATTGCTATCAATAGTTGCAACAGAAGCAGAGAAACCTTGTCTTCTAATTTATTGGTCCTAACCTGGCATCTTGTCTTCAGCCATTTTCCTACAGATATAATGTAACTTCTGTGGGTTTTTTCTATAAATAATTTCATGTTAATTGTTCTGATGAGCTTTCCTTTTTATTACTTCAACTTCACAACATTAAGTGCAATACTAGATTGGCAGCTAGGTCTCATAGTTGCAATGATTAAACTTTTAGCTGAAACCGTAAGCTCTATACTAATAGTTTATTTATCTCACAATTCCCACTTGGAACTCTCTTCTGAGTTCATGCTTTCTTGGTAACTACAATCTTCAAACATTAATAGTAACAAGTGAAATCAAATATAGTAGGTCAAAACAACTTCAGATCTATACACATAGTTTGCTATTAGATAATATTATCAAACTATACTTACTATACTTACGATAGTAACAAATGAAATCAAAAATAGTAGGCCCAAAGTTGATTGTAAAAAGACTTGTTTACAGTATGACAAAATATAGAACAAAAGTAACAAAAGAAAATATGTACACTATTCCGTGAAGGGGAACTTGCTGCTCAAAAGTGGTTTTGGAAGTTCTCAACTGGTAATGAGTTAAAATTGTACCTCATATAGGATGAATGCTAATCATTGACAATGATGTTATATATTTTATGTGGCTGCAAGAGTAACAAATGAAAAACAACAATGTATTGCTAGTGTCATGTCTGTAAAGAAATACATAAATAAAAAATTAATTATATTGTCACTTTGTTGTATCTATAAAAATGTAAATAAATAAAAATTAATTCCAGTTTTGAAAATATAATTATAATAAAATAATTATAACAATTATAATTATCATTAATTCACTTTTTCTACACACATGCAAACACATGAAATTTTCACTATCGGACAGGCTGTCAACAACTGCGTCAATGAAAATTTCAGCTGCTTTTCCTTTTTAAGGCCATAATAGCAACATTTATTTCTTAGCACTCAACAAAAATTTGAAGTAAGAAAACCTCACACACATTGTATTTCCCAAGTAAATTATCTGGACATCTACAGACATCTATAAAAAAAACTTATGAGTATACACATTACTTATTTTTTATCTTATCTTATTCTGTCAGATTCTGATCCATATTTAATCTACATTTGACCCCACACACAATTTTACTCAGTATTACTGTCTCTCGTGTCTCCAGCACCACATAACTAGATAATAAATAATACTCATTTCGATGTTTCCACGTCTTACTGTTTCTAATTTTTACAAGTATTTTTGTATATATAAATGTTAGGGGGTTTATAATTACTTACTCACAGTTATAACTCCTCTACACTAGTGAAGTGGAAAGAAAAAGAGACAAGACATTTTGAAATAACATTATCTGTTAGACCAGGGGTCACCAAACTTTTTTCACAGGTCAGATAACTGAGAGAATGATGAGCGCAGACTGGGTAACCATTTTGTTCAATACAATACACTGAATTCACAAAAAATAAAGACAACAAACATATTTATTTACTAAAAAGTTATCTAAGGAGGCATCAATAGCAATAAAATAGTTACATTGCACCAAATGTGCACATATCTGAATCTCAAAAACTAAGCAGTATGAAAGGTTAGTGAGATTTATGAAACTGGTTCTTACCTTTTAAGATATAACTAATATTTGTTTTGGAGATAAATGCTTTCTAATGTTCATCAGTCAACCATGTTACTTGTGCTGACTTTACATACCTTAGATTTTATAAGTTCAGGCAAAATATATGACATAATTCACTGAAGTCAGTCCTTTTTATATATAGCACTCTTCAAACCGGTTTAAAGACAGCAATGCAAGTTGAGACATAATTGCTGCAGCAGGCTTGTAATCACTTTTCTTAGAAACTTCATTGCATGTACTTACACAAAAAGTACTCGGATATCAAAAGTTGCAAAAAGTTGCCAAATTTTTTATTTCACTGATTTTCCTAAAACTTATATTACTGTCAGATGCAAAAATCATATAGGCCAAATTTTGGCATTTTTACTTACATTTATTTTAAGTTTTTCTACAAGGTAGATTTTCTCTTGCCAGTAAGTGAAGCAACATTTGTATATGAAGGAGTTTGATTGTGAAGAGGCAAGGTTGTCTACTGACCTCATGTTGAAACTTGTGTAGGCTTGGTTGACGAACAGACTGTTTTGAAATGCATTGAGGGTTGCCATGTAGGTCCTTTTAAGCAGTCAAGATGGATACATGAGTCACCATTTTCATCTTGGTTCTGTTTCCACAGAAATATATGGGATTGGCTCCAATATTTTAAAAGTTTAAAAATTAAAAATAAAATTTTTTTATTAATTTTGTAAGCTGGATAATTGGATGTGATGCTCAGGGTCAGGCCTGACGATTGCATATAGCATGAAACAGACTGTCGCCTTTAAGTGTTGACATCTATGTTCACTTTTATATTTACACACGCTCTATCTCTGATATTGAGCACTTTATCCCAAAAATATAGCACACCTTAAGACTATATTTCTTTATATATATATATATATATTAAATTGTGTGTATTTAGGCAGCATCTTTTCATTCATACATGTTTCGACTTACTTAAGCCATTATCAAAGATGTCAATTACAACATATTAAACAATATACGGACAAGACAGCGATGATAGTCTGTCAATGTTTACATAGATGATTTCTAAGCAACGATAACCACACGCATATAAGACGCTAGAAGCAAAAATCGCACTGCATCTCATGACGTCACACATGACCACACGAGAGTGAATTGTAGAAGTATGAAATATGAAAAGTATGAAAAGAAATATGGAAAGCCGTTGGTATAAACCAATGGCTTCTGTTACCAATTATAGACATTTAATAAGTTGGTTAATGTATGTTGTTAGATGATATACAGGAGTTGGAATTTACGATATGATAGGACGGAGAGGATAGTTAGGTTTATGTGTTTTTATAGTGCCGTATATGTAGCCAGGTCTATAATCACTAACAATTTTAGGGAGTTTTAAAGAGTTCTGTTCAGCATTGTTAGCATTAATAAGTTTATTAAGCTTTGATTTTAGTTGGTTGGTTGGGTTCTTGTTAAGTTTTTTAAACTTTATGTGATCATGGAGTATGTGGTCAAGTTTTTTGTTGTAATCCAATTTGTTTAGGATGACAAAAAATGTTGGTCTTATCAGCTTTTTTTTTTTACAATAATGTCAGGGTGGTTATGTAGTTCTTGTGCTGCAATTTTTAGTTGTTTAGAAAGTATTTTTGAGGAGTTTCTGCTTTTATCATGCCGATCCTTGAATGCCTCAGCCTTAAGTAAGTCTTTAAATTCTGGTGTTACGAAAAAAATTTACATAAAATAAATAGACAACACTTGTCTATATTATTTAATGAAACGTGTATGAATATATATATATATATATATATATATATATATATATATAAATGTGTGATGGATAAATTGTCTAAATTACACAAAAATGAAAATAACACTGACATCTTATTTTAACAGATATATTTACCAAAATTACACAAAAATATCTTGAAATACTAAAGAGTAAATTTACTCAATAAAATCACCATTGGTTTCAGCCACTGCCTCCAGATAACTTCAGAATATCTTTCATCACTTCTGGATGATCTCTTTGTTGAAGTTGGTGAATGCTGCCATAATCCTTGCCTTCAGTTCATCTTTGGTGTTACAAGGAGTTTTGTTGGTCTCTCGCTCAACTGTGCCCCACACATATTAATTAAGGGGGTTGTAGCCTGGGGAATTAGGTAGCCATATGTAAGGGGTGATGTGGTTGCAGAAATTATTCTGCTTGTGTGACATAGTGCAGAGTCCTGTTGCCAGATATAGGGTATTCCGGCAGCCACCCTCTTGACTCAGGGCAGTACTACCTCCTCAAGGTACTTGATTTTGGTTTCTGTGTTTGGTCTGAGATCCTGTGGGAAGAGAAAAAGGAGGTATGATGTTGACTGGATATATCATCCATCTCTTTCCGAATCCTCTGCACTGTCCTCGGATTCACACCCAAACATTCTGGAAAGCTTGTTTTGAAGCTTCCAGCATGAATGCCAAGTAGTACGGCATGCCATTTCCAAATTTCTGGCAGAGTGCTTTTCATCATCGTGCTCTTTTTCTTACAAACGGTGCCCAACTGATCTTACTGTGCTATACAAACAATACATATGCACAAAATTAAAAATATAAAATAGCAACAATTTACCCATTGCACCCTGTATATATACTTATTTACTTATATATACTTACATACTTATACACTTATATACACATCCATCCATATATGGTAGTAGTGCTAATGATAATATTATCCTGTTTCCTTAAATGGAAATGTTTGGCATTCATTGACTGAGAAACCGCTACTGTTTTCAATTGAAATTTATGAAATCTTTCTATTAAAGCACATTTTTAGGAAAACATTTTTCTTTCAGTATTAATGAGGGTTTCCTACTTAACCTTTGTTATGGAACCTTACCCATAATAACATAATGAACTATTCCATACGTAATAAATACTGCACCTCAAGAGGAGTTCAGTCTGAAGTCTGGAGTGAAGTCCATCAGAAATCTGTCAGTCAGTCAGAGCGAGTCAGTCAGTCGAGTCAGAGGCAGTCCAAAACAGAGTCACGTTCAGACAATTACTAGTAAACCTGATTGTTCGTACTAACACTTTCTTCTCTGTATATATTCCTGTTTGTAATATATTTGTGTTATTCCATATCCGTGTTCGAATTCTTCTTTATTGGTTCTACCTTGGACTATTAACGTGGTACAAGGAACCAGACCATAACAACCTTCTATTTGAATTGGTGTGAAATATTTCATTATGTCATTATTTTTTCTTCAAGTTACATCTGCTATCCATTTTAGTTTTGCTGCTGTTGGTAGTCCTTAGTTGATGTGGTTTCTGTTATTTGGTACAATTCTATGTGATTCTATAGTGCAGTCCACAATGTTCAAAGAAGGATGATCTTTGCCAAGACACCTGGGCCTTATTTGCTCAAGGCCTTTTTTCACCATTGATCTTAGGAAGCAGTTGTATACAGCTGGTAGTTTAGATATTTCTGAACAGGTTTGGCACCATGCATGACATCCATATGAAAGTCTCGGTCTAATAAGGCTATTTAAGAACATGACTTGAGTTTTCAGGTTGATGTTTTGGTTGTTTTTTCCTATACTTAATTTGTTGTAGATGATTCATATGCTGAGGTATGTGAAGTATTTAGTATTTACTAAATTCACTTCCTGAATTTTTATGATTCATTCAGGGGACACACCATCATTGCTTTCATTCCAATTCCAGATCATGGTTTCTGTTTCGAAAAGGTTTATCTTGAGCCCTGTTTCTTGGAACACTTGATAAAGGATTTTGTCTTTCTTTTCAAGATCATTCTTATCCTAAATATGAACACCTATGACATCAACATCGCCACACAATACATTGGCCTCAGGAGGGAAAGCGGGATTGCTGTCTTCTTTTGGTAGACTCATTTGGGAATGGGGTAGTGAATGTTTAAATGATCAGTAAAAAATTGTTAATGAAATATTGGCTCTCAAAAAAAAGAAATAATCTTACAATACAAAATATGTTTTGGTTTTAAATAACTCACAAAAAGTTGATAAGCTGTAAAGTACAAATCAATCAATCATCCATTTAAATTTTTCTTTCATTTTTATTGTTTTCTATCCCTACATTTTAAAAATTCTTTTTCATTTTCTTTCTTTCCTCCTTTCTGCCATTCTTTGCCTTTTTCTTTCTTTCTTTCTTTCTTTCTTTCTTTCTTTCTTTCTTTCTGCCATTCTTTGCCTTTTTCTTTCTTTCTTTCCTCCTTTCTGCCATTCTTTGCCTTTTTCTTTCTTTCTTTCTTTCTTTCTTTCTTTCCTTCTTTCTTTCTGCCATTCTTTCTTTCTGCCATTCTTTGCCTTTTTCTTTCTTTCTTTCTTTCCTCCTTTCTGCCATTTTTTGCCTTTTTCTTTCTTTCTTTCTTTCTTTCTTTCTGCCATTCTTTCTTTTTTCTTTCTTTTTTTCTTTCTTTCTTTCTGCCATTCTTTGTGTTTTTCTTTTTCTGCCATTCTTTGCCTTTTTCTTTCTTTCTTTCTTTCTTTCTTTCTTTCTTTCTTTCTTTCTGCCATTCTTTGCCTTTTTCTTTCTTTCTTTCTTTCCTCCTTTCTGCCATTCTTTGCATCTTTCTTTCCTTCTTTCTGCCATTCTTTGCCTCTTTCTTTCTTTCCTTCTGCCATTCTTTGTCTCTTTCTTTCTTTCTGCCATTCTTTCTTTCTTTCTGCCATTCTTTGCCTCTTTCTTTCTTTCTTTCTTTCCTCCTTTCTGCCATCTTTGCCTCTTTCTTTCTTTCTTTCTGCCATTCTTTGCCTCTTTCTTTCCTTTTTTCTGCCATTCTTTGTCTCTTTCTTTCTTTCTGCCATTCTTTGCCTCTTTCTTTCTTTCTTTATTTCTTTCTTATTCACCCCCCTCTTTTCCATATATGCTCTGTTTGATTCCTTTGATCTCTATTTCTTCAAAATTGTTTTTCCCTATATCTCCAGGTTTTGTCTTTTCTTATTTGTCATTTTCTATATTTCTTATTGTCTATTTGTTTTCTTTCTCTTCGTCATCTTTTTCTACATTCTCACTTTTATTCCCTTTCTTATTTCTCTTTCATCTTTTCCTTTCATTTCTATTCTTATTCTTTCATTCTCACATCACATCTCATTGATATAAATAGACCACCTGCAACCAAATTCTTTTCATCTGACAGAAGAAAGGTGACCTTATTCCTTTATAATTTATGTAACACTTCCAAAGAAAATGATTACTATAGAAAAATGGATGCCTGTATATGTGTATATAAGATTTCTAATCATCAAGATTTGATTTTGCTGAACTGCTGAAAGTTTCTTAAATTTTAGAAAGACTGATTTATTCATATAAAATTTTAAAAAATAACCAATGTTAAAAATAAACCATATATATAAAAAAGTAACATATTATAGTAATATATAACATGATTTTCTAGAATTTTTTTATATTCTATCTCTCACTTTCAAGACAGACATACACTGAAAATGATAGACCATTCCTATTTTTGTAAGGTGACAAACTCAGAAAATCAGCAGGGGATGAAATACTTATTTACCCCATTGTAGATTTAGGAATAGACAGAGTTTTAATCTTGATGATGCTGATGATCATTGTCATTATCATCATAACTGTCGTCGTCATCATAATCAGTTATTGAGAATATTACAGTGAAAGAGTTTTTTTTCTGTTTGTGTATTTAAGCAGCATATTTTCAGTCAAGAAGGTTTGGTTAAATAATTTAGACATACTATATCTGTTTATTTTTGTTTTAAACCTTTCAAGTCCACGGACCAATTTCTTGGTAGCCTTTGTCCTTTGGAAGATTGTATCTCTGATAAAAATGTTAATAAGTATATTGTTTTTACAATGACAATGCTATCAAGAAGGCTTACATTTCACTTGGATGAGCATAGTTCAATCTTGTAGCATTTAAAGGAACACTCATGTCCACATTCACAGTTTAGACAGATATTAATAGAAATACATCTATATTACACCAAAATCATTAGAAAAAACTTAAAATCCTAGAAGCCCTTTATATAAGAGAATTAAAGGCCAAAATAATGTCAACTATGAGTATAGCAATAAAGTTCTTAAATGTTTGTAGCTGTAAAGTTTTATATATATATATATATATATATATATGAAAAAATAAAAAATAAGAATAATTAAATAAATAGGGAAATAAAAAAGTTGCCTCCCTTGGATGAAGAAAAAAAACTTGTGAATTTGAAACTGATATAGAATGATAAAAAACACAGTAAATTGAACCTCCTGAAGATGGTCTCAGATGAGACTGAAAGTACTTAGGAAAATAAAAATTATTTGAAAGAAAATGTTAGTATTTTTCTTAATCAATTTTTTATGGCTACCAAGAAACTGATTTGTGGACTTGAAAGGATTAAAACAAAAATAAACAGACATAGTATGTCTAAACAAAAACAAAACCTATTTGAATATATATATATATATATATATATATATATATATATATATATATATAAAGAAATATAGTATTAAGGTCTGGTTTATTTATGGGATAAAGTGCTTGATATCAGAGATAGAGCGTGTGTAAATATAAAAGTGAACATAGAAGTCAACACTTAGAGACGACAGTCTGTTTCATGCTATACGCAATCGTCAGGTCACGTGTGCTGTTATTTTTCTCGGCTATTTATACATATACAGATCAGTGGTGCATTGTGGGTAGTCTATTATGGCGGTTATTTTACCGGAAGTCGTTTATTTAAAAAAATTTTGTTTATATCACTTATTTGATAGTTTTGTTTTGGTTTGAGAATTTAATTAAAGCTATTTGTTCTGTTTGGGAGGGGGGGTTGTTGGAATCCTGTACAAAAATTATTATATGCCATTATTATTATTGGAGAGCAAGGATGGATTTATAGCTTTCAAATTGAACTTGTCTCACCAATTTCTCTTTTTGAATCATTGTTACACTACACTGAGAGATAAAGAAGAGACTTGAGGCAACAGAAATTTGGTTTAGCAGAAGGATACTCAGAATATCATGGACTGAACATGTGACCAATGACAAAGTTTTAGACAAAATGGAAACAGGAAGGACACTTATACTTGTACATGTAATGATGAAAGGAGGCTTAAAAAATTTAACACTCACGGTATATATTGAAAGCAAGAATCTAATGCCATATTTTTATTAGACATTTTAATAAGTTTTCTCAAGTGTGCAGGCTGGTAGATGAAATACTGTTTAAAAAAAATGGATCATCTACACAAATATGGATATCCACTAAAAATAATTTTTGAAGTAATTATATATATATATATATATATATATATATATATATATAAAGAAATATAGTCTTAAGACGTGCTATATTTATGGGATAAAGTGCTCAATATCAGAGATAGAGCGTGTGTAAATATAAAAGTGAACATAGAAGTCAACACTTAGAGACAACAGTCTGTTTCATGCTAGATGCAATTGTTAGGCCACCACTATGTTCACTTTTATATTTTATATATATATATATATATATATATATATATATATATATATATATATATATATATCCAAATACAGGATAAGAACAAATGGAGTATAATTCCATTGTCTGTAGCATTTAATTTTGAAAATGGGCTCAATACAGAGTAAAGCTTAATATTATTTATTATGTGAAGTCAAGCCAAAAATTGTTAAAAATCATTACACAATATTTATAGAAAAGGCAGAGGAAAGATACATTATGGTGATGGGGAAAATGACTATAGCCAAAATGCCAGGTGAAGACCAATAACATAACAGTTTCTTCTTTGTATTTTATCTCGAAATATGTATCAGAAACACCAAATCAGATTTGGCAGTAATATTCAATGCATGGATTAATGGTAAAGTTATAAATGTGTTAGATAGATTCAGGCAAGAAAGATTGTCTAAAACGGGCTCAATACAGAGTAGAGCTTAATATTATTCATTATGTGAAGTCAAGCCAAAAATTGTTAAAAATCATTACACAACAGCTTTCATGTTTCAGCACTAAGTTGTGCCTCCTCAGACAATGGTAAAGAACGGGTGAGTAAAAAACTCAGTTTTTTACTCACCAGTTATTAACCATAAGGTGGCACAGCTTAATGCTGAAACATGAAAAGAATTTGTAATGATTTTTAACATGTTTTTGTTTTAATCTCATATAATAAAATATATATATATATATATATATATATATATATATATAATCTTTTCCTTTTTTTTTATTTTTCTTTAACAATATTTCTGTAAGGATTTGTGTTTTAGAGGCACTCTTCAGCCTTGCTTGATTGGTGACGCCCTTTGAGGCCAAGACAATCTAGTGAACCAACTTTCTAATCATGCTGATTAGAAAGTTTGTTCACTGTGTAGCATAGCAACTGATCAATATAATCTTTCGAATTCATGTCAGTGGAAAACGTTATTCTGAGAAGGCATAATGAATCACTCTCCTGGAGGTTAGCATCAGCCATGCTGATGGAATGCAAAATAGTTTCTGTCATTTAATTAAAAGAGAGCAGTTTCATTTTAGAGGTGACCAAATTTACAAGCCATTTCTTGTCCCAGTTAACAACTTCTTGTGGATCATTTTTGAGATCAGCTGCCAATTTGACCATATTGAAATGATCAGATTTACCTTTAAGACTGGAGTAAATAGTTTTATCATCAGCATGGATACTGGGTTGAGAACTGATGATTTAAGGTACAATTTTGCTCTCTTGATTTTGGCCTTTATAGAATTGGTTTTTCATGTTATTGTTCTGGGCCATGTATTCAGTGGGACACATATTGTATTTTTAGATGTCCTTTTTGAAACCCTCTTCCCAATTTATCAGCAATTCTTTTTATCATACGAAATGTCCATAAAACTGCTTGTTCCCATTTTTAGGGTGTTATGATTTTGGAAATTTCTGTTCTACTTGGTCTCCTCCTGGTTGTTCTAATATAACTTTTGACTGTTGCAATTAACCATTCATTGTTCTGCATTGAATAATCTTTATATTCCTTAATGGCAGAATTGGCACATTCTTCAATACTAATCACCTTCTTCGTCTCTCTTTCCTTTTCAGGCATAGTCAGTTAGTATCATCTGTTGGTTTGCAAGGCGTCATTATCATCATCCCCATCAGTATTCTTCATTTCTACTTCATGCCTTAGGCACAACTATTGTCATCATATTCATCATCATCATTCTTGTTTTTCAAATTCTTTTTTTCTTTATGTACGTCCATAATCATCATTCAATATTTTTTTCTTTAAATTCTTCCTATCCTTATGATTCTCATCACTATTATTTAGTGAAAGTATCTGTTGTGAAAAGTTTGTAAAATTGTAATTTCTTTTGGCTTGTAATCAATTCCTACAATATATTTCTTTTAGTCAAACACTACACTGACTGCAACAAATGTCACCTGTACGATACAGCAGAAACTGTTCTGCATGATGCCTTGTTATGAACTTTTTTTATATCCTCATTGACAGTCAAAATTTACATTGGGAAAAGATACTGTCATGAGAGAGTATTCAACTTTAGGATCTATCTGTTTTAAATGTGTGATCCATGAAGCCATCATTTTTCCTTTGGGGACAGTTTACATATGAGATATGTTCAAATCCGATATCTTCATAGAGGTAATCCATTTTCTCTAGCATTACATTGACTATTGCAAAAAAGAAAGCCTCCTTATGGTTAATAACTGGTGAGTAAAAAACTGAGTTTTTTACTCACCAGTTCTTTACCATTGTCTGAGGAGACACAGCTTAGTGCTGAAACATGAAAGCTGTTGTGTAATACTTTTTAACAATTTTTGGCTTGACTTCACATAATAAATAATATTAAGCTCTACTCTATATTGAGCCCATTTTCAAAATTAAATGCTACAGACAACGGAATTATACTCCATTTGT